ACAAAAAATTTTAGCAGTTCCTAAACTCTGCTAAAAGTCTACAGGTGGAACTCGAAAAATTAGAATATCGTGCAAAAGCTCATTTATTTCAGTAATGCAACTTAAAAGGTGAAACTAATATATGAGATAGACTCATTACATGCAAAGCAAGATAGTTCAAGCTGTGATTTGTCATAATTGTGATGATTATGGCTTACAGCTCATGAAAACCCCAAATCCACAATCTCAGAAAATTAGAATATTACATGCAATCAATAACACAAGGATTGTACATAGAACAATATTGGACCTCTGAAAAGTATAAGCATGCATATGTACTCAGTACTTGGTTTGGGCCCCTTTTGCAGCAATTACTGCCTCAATGCGGCGTGGCATGGAAGCTATCAGCCTGTGGCACTGCTGAGGTGTTATGGAAGACCAGGATGCTTTAATAGCAGCCTTCAGCTTTTCTGCATTGTTCGGTCTCATGTCTCTCATCTTTCTTTTGGCAATGCCCCATAGATTCTCTAAGGGGTTCAGATCAGGCGAGTTTGCTGGCCAATCAAGCACAGTAATCCCCACGGTCATTGAACCAGGTTTTGGTGCTTTTGGCAGTGTGGGCAGGTGCCAAGTCCTGCTGGAAAATGAAGTCAGCACCCCTATAAAGCTTGTCTGCAAGAAGGAAGCATGAAGTGCTCCAAAATCTCCTGGTAGATGGCTGCGTTGACCCTGGACTTAATGAGGCACAGTGGACCAACACCAGCAGATGACATGGCTCCCCAAATCAACACAGACTGTGGAAACTTCACACTGGACTTCAAGCATCTTGCAGTGTGTGCCTCTCCATTCTTCCTCCATACTCTGGGTCCTTGGTTTCCAAATGAGATGCAAAAGTTGCTCTCATCAGAAAAGAGGACTTTGGACCACTGAGCAACAGACCAGGTCTGTTTTTCTTTAGCCCAGGTAAGACCCTTCTGACGTTGTTTGTTGTTCAGGAGCAACTTGACAAGAGGAATACGACATTTGAAGCCCATGTCCAGGATCCGTCTTTGTGTGGTGGCTCTTGATGCACTGACTCCAGCCTCAGTCCACTCCTTGTGAAAGTCCTCAACACTTTTGAATGGTCTTTTCCTGACAATCCTCTCCAGGCTGTGGTCATCCCTGCTGCTTGTGCACCTTTTTCTTCCAAACTTTTCCCTTCCACATAACTTTCTATTAATGTGCTTTGAAACAGCACTTTGCGAACATCCAACTTCTTTTGCAATTACCTTGTGAGGCTTTTCCCTCCTTATGGAGGGTGTCAATGATGGTTTTCTGCACAACTGTCAGGTCAGCAGTCTTTCCCATGATTGTGATTCCTACTGAACCAGACTGAGAGACCATTTAAAGGCTCAGGAACCCTTTGTAGGTGTTATAGCTTAATTAGCTGATTAGAGTGGGACACTTTGAGCCTAGAATATTGCACCTTTTCACAATATTCTCATTTTCTGGGATTGTGGATTTGGGGTTTTCATGAGCTGTAAGCCATAATCATCACAATTATGACAAATCACAGCTTGAAGTATCTTGCTTTGCATGTAATGAGTCTATCTCATATATTAGTTTCACCTTTTAAATTGCATTACTGAAATAAATGAACTTTTGCACGATATTCAAATTTTTCGAGTTTCACCTGTATGTGTATATGGACTCATATGTTTTATGGAGTGGAGTTAGGAGCTTTGGCAAAAAAATGCCAAAAGCTCCTAAACTCGAGTTTAGCAGCTGCTCGTGTACATGAAGCCTAAGACTGATGTTACTGGTAACAGTGTCCCCTTTGGAAGAGTACCTCCTGTGCCAATGACAGCCATTACATTTTGGATTTTCCCATCAATTTCGGTTGGAGTGACAATGATCACCGCGGCAAACAGAGGAGGCAGATCTTTCCAGCAGAGACACGCACAGCGATAAAAACTTGACATAAGTTCTAACCCTTCCTCACTCTATCCAAAACAAAGACTGATGATCAGTGCCCTGATCATCAGTTCAGTGCCACCCATCAGTGCCCAGCAGTACCATCCATCAGTGCTGCCCAGCAGTGCCGCCCAGCAGTGCAATCCAGCAGTGCCGCCCAGCAGTTGTGCCCATCAGTGCCACCCAGCAGTTGCGCCCATCAGTGTCAACAGTTAGCGCCGCGAGTCAGTGCCACCAGTCAGTGCTGTCAGTCAGTGCCGCCCATCAGTGCTGCCTATCGGTGCCCGTCAGTGCCCATCAGTGCCACCTGTCAGTGCCCCCAGTAAAAGCTGAAAATTGGCCTGGGCATGAAGGGGGTAAAAGTACCTAGTAGGCAAGTGGTTAAAGGTGGAGGGATGCAGGGATCCAGATACAGCACAATGACAGCATAGGTATTCATTGTGTACCTGCATCCAATTCAGCCAACTGTACAAAAAATTGGCAACTGTCCCAACCTATATCCAGCCCAGGGGTGGACTGACCATTTGGAAACTCGGCCACTGCCCGAGGGCCCAGGATCAGTAGGGGGCCCCATGAGATGCCCCTGGTACCTTTTTCATAGGCTTTTTTGAGTTTGGGCAAGGACACAGGGGCCCCTATTTCCAAGGGGCCCCATGAGTTGTCAGTCCGCCCCTGATCCAGCCTAAGCAGCAAAGTGCACATGGAAGGGCAATGCACATCATAAACAAAGGATTTCCCAGCACACTTACCAGACAACTTGCAAAACAACCAAATTTGTTCTGTCTAACAGTTTGGTTGTTGTTTGGCTGTCAAACAGCCACAATTTCTGACATAAATTGCTATAGAATCACATGGTACGTATATAATGTACTTGTGCTTACTTGCTGTGTTTTGGCTGCATATGTTGCATTTTTCAGTTCAGTCATAACTGTTCAGCTATGATCATTTGTTCATTCTTTGAGATGCTACTGTGTCCTTGTGTCTAGCCATAGATGGATTGAAATTCAGCCAGTTCAGCAGGAGCCAGTCAAATTTCAATCTATCTATGGGCAGGCTGGTTGTTCTGAAGTTGCTCTATCGATCGATGTCAGTACAACCAACCTGACAGGCTATAGTCACCAGCAGTGATCACTGTATTCTGCCGGTGGGGAAAGCTTCCTGTGGGCCAGCAGAATACAAGAGCCCTGTGAGAAGGATTCTCTTTTGAGTGATTTTTCTTTCCTTCCACTTGTATTTGAAAGAAAGAAAAGTGTACAATGTATGGTTAGCCTTACACTTACCTGCTTTACATTTAAAAAAAAGAGGAGGTTGGATAGACCGTGATCAATCACCCCTAAGCTATAAAAAAAAATATTTGACACATGAGTATTTATGATCATAGACTATCACACAAGTTGGATAAACTAGATATTCCTCTTTGTCCATTCAATACACAAATCAATTCAGAAATGATAACTACATGTCATTGAAAACACTGTTACCTATATTGCAATCAAACAAAAGGATTAAAAATTCAACTAAAAATTGGAAACTATATCATTCAGTCACATGAGCATGTTAACTTCTAAGTAACATGATGTGACACTTAACAGACTTATGTATTTATCAGTGCAAGGACCAAGTGCTGTAATTCATAGCAGCCAGTTATAATTCACTTAAATGAAGCCATTTGTTTACAGGCGTCAACATCCCCATTGTAGAGATTTCCCCTCATTTTCTCCCTCAGGGGCACCCTATCACAATTAGACACCATTACAGGATATTACATAAAATCTCTCCCATGATCACACAGACAGCAATTAAAATTTGACACAGATTCTAATAATTTTCTTTTTTTATCAGATAATCTTTATATAGCAAACGTTTTTACATTGAAAATATAAGTATGCTCAAAACAGAGGGCACAACACCAAACCAAACAGAAAACAGTAGCAGTACAGATCCAACTAGTGTTGCATACCCAGCTTATACACATATGTAAGTTTTCATATCCTTTGCACTACAAATCTATAATTGCAAGTTTATTTCATATATAAGTAAATATACAAGTTTGAAGCACAAAATGTTTTTCTGAACAATTACAGTTGAGTAAGTCACTTTTCTAAACAAAAGTCATATGTCAGGGTTAGACGGTACATTGTAGACTCTTTAGTGGTTCACAGATAAATGCCCTGACTGAACTACCAGGAATGACTAATACCACCATTTATTCATGTACTCAAACTTAGATGCAGTATTTGTAATAATAACGGTGACATAGAAAAATTAAGTCAAGATGTTGAACTGTGGAACATTTTACATTCATCATTGACTGGATATGCAGTTTGCTTGACATGTAAACACAATATGACAAAATTTAGATAGTAACCAATTAAAACTATGCCGCATTGCCAAGGTCCAGAACAACATTGTGGGAGCACACTGTGATAAACAGCTACTGAAACAGGAGGCTAGTTTGATAATAGGATGCAGAACACATGTGACTCTTCAGTCAGGGTCTAATTTCTTATTATTGTGTTTTATACATAGAAGGCACCTCAGCAGTGCCACAGGCTGATAGCTTCCATGCCACGCCGCATTGAGGCAGTAATTGCTGCAAAAGTGGCCCAAACCAAGTACTGAGTACATATGCATGCTTATACTTTTCAGAGGTCCAATATTGTTCTATGTACAATCATTGTTTTATTGATTGCATGTAATATTCAAATTTTCTGAGATTGTGGATTTGGGGTTTTCATGAGCTGTAAACTGTAATCATCACAATTATGACAAATCACAGCTTGGACTATCTTGCTTTGCATGTAATGAGTCTATCTCATATATTAGTTTCACTTTTTAAAGTTGCATTACTGAAATAAATGAACTTTTGCACGATATTCAAATTTTTCGAGTTTCACCTGTATATATATATATATATATATATATATATATATATATATATATATATATATATATATATATATATATACACACACTATATTGCCAAAAAGTGTTGGGACACCCCTCCTAATCATTGGATTCAGGTGTTCCAATCACCTCCATGGCTACAGGTATATAAAATCAAGCACCTAGGCATGCAGACTGCTTCTACAAACATTTGTGAAAGAATGGGTCGCTCTCAGGAGCTCAGTGAATTCAAGGTGGTACCGTGATAGGTTGTCACCTGTGCAATAAGTCCATCCGTGACATTTCCTTGCTACCTAATATTCCACCATCAACTGTTAGTGGTATTATAACAAAGTGGAAGCAACTCGAAATAGGACAGATCGGGTCAGCGCATGCTGAAGCACACAGTGCGCAGAAGTCACCAACTGTCTGCGGAGTCAATAGCTAAAGACCTCCAAACTTTGTGTGGCCTTTAGATTAGCACAACAACAGTGTAGTAGCTGCATCCAAGTCTTACATCACTAAGTGCAATGCAAATTGTCGGATGCTGTGGTGTAAAGACATGTTCTCTGGAGTGATGAATTATGCTTCTCTATCTGGCAATCTGATGGACATGTCTGGGTTTGGCGGTTGCCAGGAGAACGGTACTTGCCTGACTGCACTGTGCCAAGTGTAAAGTTTGGTGGAGGGGGGATTATGGTGTTGGGGTTGTTTTTCAGGGGTGGGCTTGGCCCCTTAGTTTCAGTGAAGGGAACTCTTAAGGCGTCAGCATACAAGACATTTTGGACAATTTCATGCTGCCAACGTTTTTGAGGGAACAGTTTGGGGATGGCCCCTTACTGTTCCAACATGACTGCGCACCACTGCACAAAGCAAGGTTCATAAAAACATGGATGAGCAAGTTTGGGGTGGGGGAACTTGACTGGCCTGCACATAGTCTTGACCTCAACCCGACAGAACACCTTTGGGATGAATTAGAGCGGAGACTGTGAGCCAGGCCTTCTCGTCCAACATCAGTGCCTGACCTCACAAATGCGCTTCTGGAAGAATGGTCAAACATTCCCATAGACACATACCTACACCTTATGGACAGCTTTCCCCCGAATAGTTGAAGCTGTTATAGCTGCAAAGGGTGGGCCAAGACTGGACTAAGACTGGGATGCCATTAAAGTTCATGTGTGTGTAAATGCAGGTTTCCCAATACTTTTGGCAATATAATATATATATATATATATATATATATATATATATATATATATATATATATATATATAAAATGTTTGGGGGTCTAAGTAACTTTCTAGCAAACAAATATTGATGTTTACAAGTAAACAAAAAAATAGACCTACTCCTAGGGCAAGGACCAGGTATAAATCACATTATCTGAGCAGAATTATAAATATTGTGGAAATTGATTTTTTTGACTATGTCTGTACATAAAAAAACACGCCAATTTTTTGTCAAGCTCATCTTCTGTTACTGTAGAACTTCTATGCATTATGAAAACTGAAGTCAGTACGAGCAGTAAAGGAATGCACACAGCACACAGGTGACCCTATCCTATGAGAATTTGTACATTAAGTATGTATTGTATTCCACATTGTTGTACATTGCTATTCTTGAGAAATCCATAACAGTTCTGAAACTCAATGAAATCCCTAATTTAAACCAATCTCTTTCTGAAAATCACCGCACTTTTGTAAAAGAATGACTTTCTAATTGTAGCTATATGCTGATAACTGTAGGATAGCCCTTGTTCTGAACATACTCACTGAATATTCAATCTAGTGCAGCTGTGCATGGTAGCCAATCAGCTTCTAACTTCAGCTTGTTCACTAAGCTTTGGCAATAAAACCTGGAAGCTGATTGGTTTCTATGCAGAGCTGCACCAGATTTTGCACTCTCCAGTTTTAGTAAATCACTCACACTGACTTGCACCTGGATGCTTTCATTTTAGTGTCCACTACCTGCAACTATGTGGTGTCCTGGTCTTTCTATATATAACAAAGACAAATTTGAAGCACGCAACTTCCCAAGTCTAGCACTGTTTTGGGAACCATTAACTGTGCTCAGTTTGTGATAGATTTTAAGCGCTTTTCAATTATATGTATGAATGCTTGGAAATTTAATTAGCCAATTTCTGTAAGAAATGATGCAGACCTTTCTTCTTTTCCTATTTAGAACAGAGAAGCTGCCATCAATTAATTAGCCTGCATTTTAGTTTAATGGAAACTGGGACTTTTTTCTTTTATATTTTATCACTGTTAATATTTGAAGGGAAACTATTGTGGTGTTGGGTCATTTTAATGTAACCTTTTTTAAAGTTTATACAATTTCACGCTTATATTTCATAATTTTTGTACTTTAAACATAAAATCATCACTTTATACAACAATAAACATTTTAATGACAGTCACACTTATAACCTTAGAGTAACAGAAGTCTATGAGATTTCTACAGAAACAGTAAAGCAGAATGTTTTCTTTCAGACTCTCTCTGATTCAAAGGAGGCATGCTGTCTAAACAAAGGAGATACTAATGGGTGATGAGTCAAATTGTGTATATGCATTTGAGCTTCAGCTACTAAGCTTTGTAAACAGCTGGCTCAGCATGTCAATAAGAAATAATTTGCAATATTTCATATTTGGCTGAATCAAAAAAAATTCAATATTTTTTAAATTTAGTGGTGTACAGGTCCCCCCAACCACTTATTATTAGAACAGTGTCTTTTTTTTTTTACCACTTCAGTATCGGGCACTTATACCCCCTGCCTGCCCAAGTCAATTTTCAGCTTTCAGTGCTGTCACACTTTGAATGACAAATGCACGGTCATGCAACATTGTACCCATATGAAATTTTTATAATTTTTTTCACATAAATAGAGCTTTCTTTTGGTGGTATTTAATCACCACTGAGTTTATTATTTTTTGCTAAATAAAACAAAAAACACCTGAAATTTTTGAAAAAAAACACACTTTTCTTCGTTTCTATCGCAAATAAATAACATTTCTTCATAAATTTAGGTCAAAATGTATTCTGCTGCATTTCTTTGGTGAAAATAATAATAATTGAATTTGTATATTTTTTCAAATATTTCTATAATTTTTTTTAATTTTTATTAAAATTGTTTTTTTTTTACCATTTTATTTTTCAGCACACTGTGACCAATGCAATACAATGTTACCATAGTAACATTGAACTACTCTGGGCAAGTGATCAGGATTTTTTTTAACACATTATGATTGCTAATACCAATGTATTTCATTGATATTTGCAATCATTGTTACTGAATGAAACTGATTCATTCAGTCTTTTGTTGTGATTTGTCTTCTTTGATCCCCACCTCCTTCTACTGTCCCCAATCCACCTGCTGATAGAACAGAGCTTTGAGGGCAAGATGCACATGCTCAGTTTGGTGTATATTGCTAGAGAGTTTTTTTTTCTTGGGAGAGTGCATGTGATCAGCACAGGGCCAATCAGCACTGTCCAGACAAAGGGGCAGGGGTTTTGCAGCCTCATAGGCCAATCAGGGGAGAAGGAAAACTCCTTCTACAAGCTTTAACCAGCGCTCTGCTGGACGCTGATAATAGTCACAAGACTGCTCTAACTGCTGATGAGAAAAGGTATTTAGCAGTTTATATTTACTAAAATAATTGCATCTTCATGTTCTGTGTACTGTGGGAGGCCAGATACAGTGAGGAACAGAAGTATTTGAACACCCTGCGATTTTGCAAGTTCTCCCACTTAGAAATCATGGAGGGGTCTGAAATTAACATTGTAGGTGCATTCGCACTCTGAGAGACAGAATTAAAAAAAAAAATTCAGGAAATCACATTGTATGAATTTTAACCTCCCTGGCGGTATGATTATTTCAGATTTTTGGTGCTGAAAGCGGTATCATTTTTTTTGCATGGAAATTTGGCGTTTTATATTGTAGGCCTGTAATTCTTAGGAAAAATTCACTGAAATCTGTCCGAACAAGAGTCTAGTAAACATCCCGGGTAGGATAAAACTTGAAACACGAAATCATAAATTATAATTTAATAAATAATCATAAAAAATAATAATATAATAATAATAATAAATTTAATTCAATAATATAATCAAACCAAAAACACTGAAATTTGAAATATAGCTCCAAGTTCACACATCACTGAGCTTAGTCGCAAAATCGTTTTCAGTGTCTGATGACGAATTTCCCCACGAATCATTATCACTCAATTCTGCAAGTAGTTCTAATTTACTATGGCTGTTCTCTAGCTGGTCTAAAAAACCGCTTTTGACCTAAAGGGATGTTTTTTGGACGCCATGGACATTTCTCAGTTTCCAGGTAGAAAGAACAGTAAAAATGCAGGCAGGGCACAGGACAAAGCACTAGGGACAAAATGTATGTGAAATGGTTTGGTACAGTACAGTAATGTTTTACTATGTGATTTTAGTGATTTTTGTGAATGTCACTTTTTGTCATTTTCAAATTTCCCGCCGTTCCGTCCCCCGTACGTCCCAACGTCGCAGGGGACGGAACCCAGATGACAGATGCCGGCATCAGCCAGATTACATTGCCGGGGACACCGCAGGAGGGACATTGCGGGAGCGCAGGACAAGGTAAGTGACCGAGGGATCGTGGAGCAGCGCCGCATGGTAAGCCCGAGTGTAGCTCGGGGTTACCGCTTGTGGTACTGAAAAACTTTACCTTGAGCTACACTCGGGAATACCGCCAGGGAGGCTACAGAAGTTATTTGTCTTGCACTGCTGAACATAAGTATTTGAATACCTAAGAAACAGCAAGAATTCTGGCTCTCAAAGACCTGTTACTGTACCTTTAAAAAGTCCACCTCTACTCCACTCATTAATCTAACTTAGTTAGTAGCACATGTTTGAGCTCTTTAAAGACACCTGTCAATCCCACAGTCAGTCAGACGCCAACTACTACCATGGGCAAGACCAAAGAGCTGTCAAAAGATACCAGAGACAAAATTGTGGACCTCCACAAAGCTGGAAAGGGCTACGGGACAATTGCCAAGCAGCTTGGTGAAAATAGATCAACTGTTGGAGCAATTGTTAGAAAATGGCTAAAGATGACTGTCAGTCTCCCTTGGACTGGGGCTCCATGCAAGATCTCACCTCGTGGGGTATCACTGATGATAAGAAAGAAGAGGAATCAGCCCAGAACTACAAGGGAGGAGCTGGTCAATGACATGAAGAGAGCTGGGACCACAGTTTCAAAGGTCACTGTCGGTAGAACACTACGCCATCATGGTTTCAAATCATGCATTGCATGGAAGGTTCCCCTGCTCAAGTCATCACATGTCCAGGCCCGTCTGAAGTTTGCCAATGACCATCTGGATGATCCAGAGGAGGCATGGAAGAAAGTCATGTGGTCAGATGAGCCCAAAATAGAACTTTTTGGTCTAAACTTCACTCGTCGTGTTTGGAGGAAAAAGAAGGATGAGTTGCATCCCAAGAACACCATCCCTACTGTGAAGCATGGGGGTGGTAACATCATGCTTTGGAGGTGCTTTTCTGCAAAGGGGACAGGACGACTGCACTGTATTAAGGAGAGGATGAATGGGGCCATTTATTGTGAGATTTTGAGCAACAACCTCCTTCCCTCAGTCAGAGCATTGAAGATGGGTCGTGGCTGGGTCTTCCAACATGACAATGACCCGAAGCA